ACAGCTTAAACAAAATAGGATGAATACCTCATATATAACTGATTTACTGGTAGTCTCAAAATTGTAATTATACGAAAAATGTTATTTTCCTTGTCTTGGCTTTATACAAACTTTGTTAGAGCCAACAAAAATTTAGCATGGACCGGAAAACTGATCAGGAACAAAATAAACATGCGCAGCATAAAGTTGTAAAAATGAAAAAAATGATGCTAACCAGAAATGAAGCCCAAATATAGCCTGTAAAGATAGAGTAGATAGACCGATCTGATGCTCACCAATAAGGGACTTCAATTCATAAGGTGATTCGATCTCAGCAAACTCGCCAACTCCATAATCGTTCTCCGCTGCCACTCGGAAGGAGTATATCGTGTTGACCGGGAGATTTTTTACACGAAATTTATCCTCGAAGGCGCTTGTATGCCCTACTGGGACCCACTCGCCAATTCTAGCAGCACTTGTCTGTCCTGCCGGGGATGATGTCAAGCCCAGAATACGTTTCTCCACGCAATACTGATTAATCTTGGAGTTTCCATCACTGGCAGGCCTCTGCCAGACCACGTCGAGCCAGTCGATGCCACGCTCCCTACCTATTTGGACTACCGTAGGTGGTTGGGGCCGGTCGAAAACGCTAACACGAAGGCAGGCGTTAGCCTGACCTTCTTGGTTGCTGGCTTCTACAGCATAGGCTCCAGCGTCAGCGAGGCACAAGTTGTTGATGACAAGACGACACTTGCACACTAACGGTTCCACGGCTACACGGTCCCTCACTTCTTCCTCCTCAAGAACGATGCGGGATTCCTCCTTGCCCCGAGCCTCAGAACCGAGTAGGCGACCATTGAGATTCCACAGAAAGTGCTCAACACCAGGTACAGCTTCAGCCACAGCCTTAAGCACGAGGCGGCCTCCGGCATGTGCTGTCAATAACTGACCTGCTTGAATCACCTTGACACGTTCGCAGGCAGTTTGCTCACAGTCTAAAGTTAACCTTGGCTTCTGGTTGACTGCCAATCGGCAATTTGTGCTCGCGATTCCAGATGCATTTTCTGCCCGGCATGTGAATACTCCGGCATCTTCTAGCTTTGCCCTGTTGATCCTAAGGCTAGCTAGTCTCTCCCAAGCAGAGCTGACTGAGTATTTGACTTGGCTGCGAATGACTACTCCATCTTTGAGCCTGGATAAGATGGGATCGGGTGGGTTTGATAGAAAACCATTGATTTAACCAACTTGAATCATAAGTGCGCTATAAATCACCACAATTTATTTTTTAGCCCTAGTAGTTCTACCGAATAAATTTAAGCAATTAGCTAAGTGGTATGCAGTATTTGACTGTAGCCAAAACAAATTGTTCTCAAGGAAAATGTAAAACTGATAATAACGCATTAATCTAAACTTTGGCACAAAAAAGATAAATTGACACAATATTAAATAAGCCTATACTGAAAAGCTTTTTTAATTCATCTAGTCAGTAAATATAAATTTATAAAAAATAAACGTTCATGAAAAAATTAGTTACGAATAAAAATAATGTAACAATTCATGACTTATTTAAAATATATATTTTTTGTTTTTTAAATAACAAAATATGTATACAAGCATGCATTTATAATGAAGGAAAGATTACTTACCAGGTTATTGAACCCTTCGGATCGCCAAGTTTGAATTCGCACTTAAGTTCAACGGGCTCATTGATGAGGACTTTCACGTTACTCATCGGCACAACAAGAGCTGGCTTGGAGGATTCTAGAGATAATCAAGAAGAAACCAACGTTGACGGCTCAAAAATATTTTGGTATTTTATTTCTGTTCTCAGATTCAGTAGTTGATAATTGAAATCACAAAATATGATTTTACAGGACCTGTGTGTAAAACTCATTGATTCGAAAGCATACAATCAAAAAATTAAGTATTAAAAGTTTTCGACTTTTCGATTTTCTTATTTAGACAAAACTCCAGGTATCTCAGGGTATTAAGTATTTTGTTTACCTCTAAACTCTTATCAGGCTCCCCACATGGTGGTCATCGAATCACATGATTCGGAAAAAATTTCAATCAACAGTCAGATCTGTCTGATATAGCAACGTAAGACACTTTCCCATGTGGCTACTTGAAATAAAGTGTGCAGGTTGGGAATCGGCCCTTGGTGTGGGACAAGTGATCAAAAAAATCGAGCTACATTTCGAAGATAACATCGGGGCGGAGCATTTCGCCTGGGCTGCAATATGATGCAATATGATGCGCGTTACCCTTAACGGTTTTTAATAATATTAAGGGACCTTATACTTACATATTAGAAAAATTGATGAGCTAGTGCGACCTGGTTTAAAATAATTATAGACTGAGGACAAAACAGCGAATTGGAGAAGTCGCTAACATGTGGAAATTCGACTACAGAATAATCTGAATTTTCTTAGATAATATTAGTTAGTAGTAAAACAGTGCTAATTCCATGAAGAGAAAATATTGCTACACAAGTGCCGTTAGCTTTGAGCCGAATCGGAACGCTTTTACTGGACTTAACGTCCTTTCGTACAATTTTAAATTAAATATACCCCATAAAAATTGATATAGATCTACGAGGTAGTAAAACTGGTCAAGATATTAAAGTTTTTCTTAAGATTAAACTTAAGAATCCATAAGGGTGCAACTATTTTCACTTACCTACAACT